AGAATATATATAGAGTGGGTGGATCCTACACAAATAAAAGCACGCACTGACCGTATAATGTGCTAGAAATTTAATGGAATGAAGAAATTTTGAGCTCATTATACAGTCAGCAAGTGTATTTGCCTGCGCACAATGCACGAACCGCAATATTCTATCTCTTGAGTTCACTGGGATGCTAAGTATTTGGGGGAATTCTTATTATCTATAAAAAAAACTTGTTTAGAAGTGGTTTCCCTCTGCTGCAGAATTTCTTGTTATGTTACTTGTAGTTCATTCAGTGGTAAGTTTCTCAGTTGTTGTATAATGCTTAGAAATGGGTTTGATTCTGTTGAGAAAAAGAAGAATGGAAAGTATGAGTGATTTTCAATAACAAAAATGTCCTTAGACATGAGAGGGTCATTTTTGTATGGATGTCAGGTTACATATTTTGTTCGATAATTCTTTGTTTGTTTTGTTTGTTTACTTGCATGCTTGTTTTTCTTTTGCGCTGTTGTTGATTTTGTTATTGTTACTGCTGTCATTGTTGTTGCTCTGCTGTTGTTGTTGTTGTTATTGCGATGTTGCTGCCGTTTTGCTTTTGCTCTGCATTTCTTTCCGCAGTTTTGCGCTTGAAATCTAAGCTTGGGTATCGTAAGTGTTTCTAGTCTTCTCCTTTTTTCATTCAAAATTGCTAATATCTTTTCTTTATAGCTGGGTTTTGCACACGACTATGACTCCCCTACCGATAAAATGTAAACACTTAGTCTTCGTGACGTTTTGTTTAAGAATGTCATGTTAAAAGTAGAGATAACAGGAAGTGGTCCACCAAGCTTAGAGGTATGCTGTATGACCTACACAGAGCATGCCCACCTTTTAAGCGTGTACTTTTGAATCCAAAGGCAAGAATAAAGAACAGTGGTAGCCAGAAATTCGTCTCTATGATGAAAATAATTATTTGATAATTAGTGCTTTAGCATAACTGTAAAATAACCCACATGATTTAAAAGTATAAGAAGGCAAGCATTTAGGCTATCCCAATCAATAATGAGTCACATTTTCGTTTTGCATCACGACAGAATTTGAACAATGCACTACAACTTCATTAGCTAGGCAAAAAGTGATTTTTTTTAAATAGAACTCACGGTATGAAACATTGCTGTACACAATCTGTGGAATACATAAACAATAGCCTCTATTTGGCGCGAAAATATGCTTGGGTATTTT